TCCTATTGCCCAATAGTTCCTCTTCCTACATTAGTGTCTTTTTTAAGAAGATATTCCACACATAGAAAACAAGTGATATATTTGAAAAGCATCTGTTTATTTCATTTGCTGACTTTTGGACTGGATTATTAGTTCTTTTGGTGTGTAGTGTTTTGAGTTCTTAGCTTCCAAGCCATAACCTAGCCCTATCGACGTCCTCCTACAAACCTCCAGCTTTAACATTCTGGCTCTGGTGGTGGTGGGTTTTCTGATGCAGGATCTCACTATGCAGTAGTGCTGGCAGGTCCTGGAACTCACTCTGTAGAGCAGGCTGGCCTCAAACTCAAGAGATCCATCTGTCTCTGCCTCCTGAATGCTGGGATTAAAAGTGTGTGCCACCATGCCTGGCCTGGACTCTCAGTATTTCTAGTGGCTGCATTAAAAAACAGCAGGTTCAAGTAATTTTAATAATACAATTTACTTAATCCAGTAGATCCAAATTATTATTTTTACATGTGATCAATAGCTGTTTTTAATGAGCTAGTTTATATTATTTTCCATATTAACTCTTCATTTAGTACAAAATGTACAAGTATCTCAGGCCTAGCCACATCATCCATATGCCACAGCCAAGTGTGGCAAATGGCTACCGCACCACACAGATGATACACATTATCCTCTCTGTAATTATCTTAGGAGCAAAGTGTCCTTAATGAATCTTCACTTTGTGCAATCGAAATTATGAGGGATATACAATGAATTATTACTTTGGCTCCCACTGCTTTGTATTCTAAATACATCAGAAGCATTTTATCATTTAATCTTTATCACTGCCCTGAGAAGTTGGCCCCTACAGAGTTTTAGACCATAGCACATTGGTATAAGATCCCTCCCCCCCCATTTCAGGTTGCTGGTTTATGCACCACCAAGGATAGAGTATAACTGAGTCCATATAAAGGATAGGTTCCCGACTGCTTGCCAGCTGTTCGGTCTTACAACGCCATCCAAAAATTTTTACTACAATAATCTATGCGCCCCTATTTAAAGAGCTGGTATAAACATCAGGTGCTCTTTAAACCAAATTCAGCAGCTGTTAGAGCCAGTTTGGTCTGGCTGGTATGGTCAGTGTTCAACTTGACCTCTGGGCATTCCTCTGTACCCTGCTCCTTGGCTCTCTAGAGACCATGCATTTTCTGCGCACAGCTCACTAACCAACTAATAACAGAGATTAGACCTATCAACAAATATATGACCTACTTCAAAGAACAAAACCCAAAAAAACTGGGATGACCAGAAAGAGAAGCTTTCTGCAGACCTCAGGAATGGCACGTGCAATAGTTTACCTTTGGAAAACCAAAAGGATTGGAAGAGAAGAAGGTAGGAGAAAAGACACTTGGCAGCCTTATATTCCTCACATGGACGAGAGAGAGACACCATTTGAAAAGTTTGGCAACTGCATGAGAGGAGAGAGGTCTGTAACAGAGGCTTGAAGACATCTTGGACAGTAGAACTCAGATGATCCTAGCTAAACGAAGGTGTACGATCGAGCCTGGGGAAGACAGCAGACAGACCCCAGAGACTGATTCACCAAACTGAGAAGTAACGCGTCAGTACCGTGTTGCACTACTGAGTTGGAGGTTGTTTACTGGACAATAACAGAACCGTGAAACTGTCGGGACAAGACAGATCAGATGGCTAATAACAAACGCTTACCTTGTACTATCTGTGAGAATAATGGGATGGGGCTCCTCCCTGCAAACTAATTCCAGTAGAGAGAAAGAGGCAGGCTGTATCTTGTCAAATTTAAACTACAGCCTTCAGTAACATATAGGGTCCAGCACTTACTGCAATACTAAATTCTGGGAATATTACTGCCAGAACCGGGTAGGGCTAAAAGAAATAATATAAGAATCTTATATTCTTGCTTTAAAATTATACCACAAACTTGCAAATGTTTATACTAGAAAAACTAACAAGATAACAGGTAGTGGGATAAATAAAACTTCAATGAGCGTTAGGGAGATGAAAAAGCAAACAAACAGAAAACACCTCAGCAGATTCCGTAACTGCACTTCCTAGATTTGGACCGCGAGGATGCAGAGCCAGCGAGGACTAGGTCGACCTGGAAGAGTCTCATTACCCAAAGTCCAGCTGTGCTCTGCATGGACATCCCTGCCAGGCACGCAATGCGGTCAGCATGCACTTCTCCTCCTCTTGACTTTGGGCCTCTGTCACCTGCTCTGGCTAGTGCGCTGTGGTGCACAGCTGTCCATCCTTAGGAACCAGACTCTGTGGGGTTCGTACTCTTGCTCTTCTTAGAAAGAATGGTTTGCCTTCAGTGGCTCATGGTTGTGTAGGACCAGGGAGATGGGGGGTGAGTGAAGGAGCATCCCAGCTGACCCAGCAGCCCAAGATCCAAAACAAGGGCTGGCTGTTGCACACCCCTGAGACCGAGAGTCCTACCCGGCAACAGCTGACTCACACAAGGCTCCTCTATCAAATGCTAACACTGGAGACATACACACGGTACACTAGAAAAAGTCTTTCTGCATATCCAAGCTATAACTAAATTAAAAAAAAAAAAGATGGTTAGCTGGTACAGAATATAAACACTCTATACTAATATCACCAAACCTTGCCCTTGCAGTCTAAGATCTTCTTTCTAAAGATTGTAATTTGATATTCATTTTTTCCTGTAATTTAACCCTGACTTGGATTTCATTTATATTTTATTCTCATTCAAATTGGATTATTTTTAATAATCCTTTTTGTTTGTTTGTTTGTTTCTCAAAACAAGGTGTGTCTCCGTGTAGCTTTGGAGCCTATCCTGAAACTCACAGAGATCCACCTGCCTCTGCCTCCCGAGTGCTGGGATTAAAGGTGTGCACTGCCACCACCTAGTCTTGGATTTTTTATAATTCTTGAGTATGTCCTACATTACTTCCAGCCTTTTCTCATCTAGCTCTCTCCTGAACTTTTATCCGACAAGTTTAGACTCTTTCAGGCCAGGTTCACATGCCACTTCTATAAAGAATCCATCCTGAATCTGCCTTTAAAGTTAAGACAGTCCATCCCCCAGGTCTGACCATGATAGGTATCTTCTGGTATTTGGCTTATTCTGCCTCAAAACACTTCCCTGTCCTCTCACAAAGTCGAAGATACCAGATCTGTGCAATACTTACCTCTGTCACCTCCATGAGGCTTAGCCAAAGGCCTTGGCCAGTGCACAGCAATGGGAAACAGCCATATACCAGGGAACGACATGGGATAAAGAGGTGAGCCAGGGCCTGAGAGATGTGGGTGCTGACGCTGATTGGCTGGGCAGCTTTGAAGCAGCCAGCTTTTTGTGATTCAGCCTCTACATATGCAAATTGAGACAGCACATATTTCACAGGACTGTTGTGAAAATTCAACACGAGAATGAATGCAAATGCCTCCCGGTATTGACATATGGCAGCAGCTCCGTCTGAGGGAGCTCCGTTACAAAATTGATCATGACAGACCGTCACACAGAGGCGAGTTTAAACGAATCCTTGACGGTGGATCATTTCCTCTCAGCAGTTAAGGATCTGAGGGTCACAACGATGACTCCAGTTACAATTAGCTGTTTTCCCAGTATCTGTGGGTTCATCGAGCTGGTGTCTGGCTTTGTTAAGACCCTCAAATATCCATTATTTCCCTACATTCCTAAATCCTTCAGGTAGTCACCACAAAGGGCAAATTTGTTATGGGGACAAAACTTCTCATTGACGAGAGTATATTTTAATATAGCAGTAGAAATTCCAGCTCAAAAACAATCATTACCATGGATCAAATGCCGGGGCTGGGAGATGGCCCAGTCAGTTTAGAGCTTGCCTTACCTGACAGAGACACAGCTAGACATTCACTGTACAAGTGACAGCACCGTTTGAGAGTGACTGGGGGATGAGACATTTCTCAATGAGAGTCCTTATCCGGGAAGAGAGGAAACGGCATTTTTGTAAATAAAAGCTATCCTTTTAATTTATATTTTCAGTTAGTAGATATTACTGTTGATGTCATTTAGCAAAAACTGTTTCATACGCTCCGTACTAACTTGAATTGTGTACAAATATTCACATTCCGTCACAGCAGAAACTGATCTTTCGAGGGACAAACCCAAGGTCAAGAAGCTCAAAATCCAGTAAGTGAGGAGGTAATAAAGGCCACAGAGTGACCTAGGTTTGGTGTGCATTGATGGGCAAGGGTCTGTGGTTGAACAGAGGCCACAGGCTGACTGAAGGGGCAAACAGCACTCTCCCGCTCATCCCCCAAGTACAGAAGACCCAGCGCTGCCAGCGCTCCTGAAGACATCTGAGTTCTTTAAGTGAAGCATCTGAAAATTTTTTTTTTTTGAGACAGGGTTTCTCTGTGTAGCTTTGCGCCTTTCCTGGAACTCACTGTGTAGCCCAGGCTGCCCTTGAACTCACAGAGATCCGCCTGCCTCTGCCTCTGGAGTGCTGGGATTAAAGGCATGCACCGCCACCGCCTGGCCAGCATCTGGATTTTTAGAGGCTGCTTTATTTACTTTTTTAATTCTTTGGGGTTAGAGGGGAGGCCATGAACCTGCAATCTGTGTGACTTCTGTACTAGGTACTCCATAATTACTCTTCATTGTGTTTTTGAATATGAATTCACTCTATTAACCCTAACACACCCCCACATTCTCGTTTATAAACCTCCATCCACTCCCACTTTTGGCTTGTATTTTCAGTTGTCACCCACCAGAACACACACGCCATTGCCGGATGTACCGACTTAACCCTCTTTGGTTCTTTAGGCTGAATGTGAACTCGTGTACAAAACCTCTATGATCCTCGCCAAGCCTCCCTGGGCACACACACGCTCTAAACCAACAACAGGAAAAAAAAAAAAAGGCCGGCACTGATTTCCCTCAAGTCTCACCCATCACTTTGACCAAACAGCGGGAGACGAGAATCAGTCCAGGTGCTCACGGTCACCCAAGGGAAGAAAGGCCTGGAACCCCCAGGCCAAGCACTCACCGCCAAACACATCTCCGTTCTGGTAGTTCTTCCCTTTCTGAGCTTCCTCTTCATTTTGAACAGTGGCAACATGCTTGGCGGAGGCACAGCCCATACTCTCATTCGGTCAGCTTCAGCCGGGCTGGACTGCAAATCATCTCTACAGACACGGGGACATGTTTCTTTTTCTCTCTTTAAACACAAAGGAAATCCACCTTGCCGCTGCTGCTGCTGCTGCTGCTGCTGCGTTGGTCACAGTGTGTGCACCTGCAGGAAGAGAAAGCTGGATCAAGAAGGGAGACTCCATACCTGGGATTGCTCCCTGCAGAGGTTGGGGGGGCGGGTAGATCACACAGTCCAATGCCTGGCTTCCATACTCAGTGCTGAAGAAAGAAGCGCCATGTGACATCCCCTCTTGATCCCTGGCTCAGAAAGCAACTATAGGAAAGCATGCCACACACAGTGCATGCTGGGAAGGAGACATTTTCAAAGAGATGTAGAACACATGCATTTTTTTTTTCAAGGAAATGAGAACTATTGTTTCCACGGGCTTATGGACTTGCTGATGTTCTGGAACCTCAAAACTTCTTACTTCTAGAGTAAATAAAACATTGTTGAGAGCCACACCGTGCCTCTCTCCATCCCTCCCTGCAGGCCAGCGCTCACAGGTTTTGTTCGGGGAGATCATCCTCCTCCTGAGACTGACTCATAGACTAGGTTATGCATCTGGAGTCTACTGGAGTCAAGAATTACTTACTTGTGTTGGCTTTGGGCTCAGCTCTCACTGTTTGAAGGACTGAGTGGAAAATGTAGGAAAACACACAGCTCGGTCCATTGTCTAGTTCCTCGCCTTGGCCTCTGTATGCCAACTGGTCTCTCACAAAGGCATAAGGACTGCTCATGAGTAAGTCACTCAGACCTAAACCTCATTCTACCGAGGGGAGATTCCCTTCCCTGCCACACTGATGGTAGCTGCCCCAGATTCTCAGGGTTTGCTGTGCCCAGTGTGCGCTGCTGTTTTCATTTTGTCTTGTTCTTGCTGTATTTCTATCAGTCTTATCCAGCCATTCTACCCCTGCGAATGAGGAGCTACAATCTCGAAGTTGTTTCTGCTGAAATATCTCTTACCTGCCCCCCCCCCACTCCTTACTAACATAACCCCTACCTCCTCAAGCCCCTTGGCAGCACCAAGAAAGTACCATTCTTGTTTCAGCCTTCACCAACACCCACATCCCACCATTTCTGCTCTGAACCATTGAGCCTGTCAAGTCTCACAGCTGGTGCTACCGAAACATGGCGACAAGCTTCACTTTCCAACAAGACCGCCAGACCCTGGGCCCTTCTCAGAGTGCAAAGGACATCTATGGCTATAGAAATCTGATCCTTTAAGCCCTAAAACCCCAGCAAAGAGCATTTTCCCAACAACCTAATTTAATAAATGTGAGTAAATACAAAGGTAGTGATCCAAATTAAGCCATGCAAACAATAACTGTAATAAATATTATGACTATAACATATACTATGACATAATATTATGGTAATAAATACTATGTTACCTGTATATAATCCCTCAAGATTATTCTCTTATCACTGATTGTGAGAAGAAAGTATAAGACTGCTTATAGAAATATTACCAACCATGTTAACATTAACTCTCTAACATCTCCTTCACATATCAAGTCACCGCATGTTAACACATTTTCATCTTTTTAAGGCTATATGAAATCTGGGTCTATGGGTGTACACACTAATACACATACACACAAGCTATTCTATTACCTAGCGGTTATGTCTCTGAAACAACTATATGTCTCAGGAGCCTGATGGGGAAGAGCTTCTGACAATAAAAAAGAATATCCACACACAATAAGGGCTGTGGTACAACCTATAGCCATGCAGAATTCCAAAGAGTAGGTCAAATTCGGACTGGGTGGGGGCAGCGACGAGACAGAGGAGGTGGTATTTCTGTGCGGTAGTGAAGGTTCGGTAGACACAGTGACAGCATACAGATGTGAGGAGCAGCTGGACAAGAACTGGGCTAGGGAAAGACAGAGCATGTAGGGCATTTGCTCCAGAAGGGTCGGGGCAGGAAGAGGCTGGCATGGCTGGTGCTTTGTGAAGAGCCTGGAGAAGGCGGAGCATGCCAACTCCATCCAGCTTAATAGAGTTAGTGTCATTGTCACGGGAGAGCTTCCTGCGAGGCATATTAAACTAGCAGCATGGTTATCCACTCTGCCTACCTCGTCTAGTTTCTGAAGAATCATCACTGAAAGAGGAGACTGGTTTCTCTGGGGAGGAGAATGGAGGTGAAAAACCCTCCCCAGCCCACGGCAGGGGAGTTCTTGCTGTTCCCCTCCCTGCCTGTGCTGCTGTGGTTTCTGGTTTCTGTGGGCACTTCCTTGGGCCAGCATCTCCTCCATCTGCATCTCAGCAGCCAAGGGGAAGGTCACGGGTGTGGAGGGAAGCCCCCTCATTTTCAAATAGGAAGTCTACAGGCAGACCACCTCACACAAGCCCAGGGAGACAACCCACTCAGGAGCCTCTCCTTGCCTCCTGTCCCTTCTTCAGAATCAAGACAGTGAAAACAGGAGAAAGGAAGGGGGATGAACTAACCCACTCACCCAGGAGGCCTGAGAAGGGAGAGACAACTCATCACGTCCTCTGTTTTGTTTTGTTTTGTTTTTCATTCTAATTTCCCATTTGCAATTTCACACTTCCTGTGTAGTTTCTCACCAAGACTGAAGCCTTACTCCTGCCCAGGTGTGTTTCCAGACCCTCAACAGATGCAAAGGGAGCAGAACCAATGCTGCATGTGCTACATTTTCCCTTAGATATTTATTTGTGATTAAAAAAAATTACTTTACACATGTCAGAACCTGACAGGAAAGAACCTTCTGACCCTGAGAAGCGTTTCACGGTATTTCTCATTCATAAAAGCTGTGCTTCAATTAAAAATGTACTTGGATGTTAAAAGTTAAGGTTATATGAAAAAGAACATGTTGCTTTGGGCTAACAAAGATAAAACAATGTAAGATGGTTTTTAAAAGGATGTCTCTATTATTCAAGTATTGGAGTGAGAGGGTCAGGTTAATAGGTACCATGGACATAATTTATATACAATTCAAACAATTCCATAGGAAGTTTCAGTTTAGTTACATATATATTTAGTATATATCATATCATGTGATATCAGAGAGAAAAAGGGGGGAGGGGAAGGGGCAAAGGGAGGAGGAAGAGTTAAGGGAGAGGGGAGAGAGACCTTGAACTCCTGGGCTCAAGTGATCTTCCTGTTTCAGCCTCTCACATAGCTAGGACTGTGGGCATGAACCACCACCTCCAGCTAATTATGTTTTAATAAGCACTGTAACTCAGCAGGAGCTCCCTCTCCATTATCAGTGCAGAGTTTATCGTTGAAATACACTATATTATATAGCTTATAGCATTAATGTGATTTCAAAAGTGACATTCTCAAGTTTTACAATCTTATTAGAAATATATTTTAATAAGTTTACTCCGTTGGTGGTGATGGAGTCCTTTGAGGGGCAGATCTCCGATTCATAAAGTTAATCACGCACGGATCACCGAGGAAAACTTTTTGATTATGTCATAAGCACTTGTCCAATCATTCAATCATTTAATTAGCAGTTAATTGAAAACTCCTTAGTAATAGACTGTGATTGGTAGGTACCCAGCACACAATGATAAGCAAGATGAGATAAGGTTTTCCTCTCTGCCTCCAAAGAATATAAGTGATCAGTGAAGGAGGTAATTAGACCAGTTTCTCAGTAAGCAACGTGATCCAGCTGCTGCAGATAAAATACAGGGTGTTCACTGCAGGGGCACCCGACTCAGCTTTGAGAAAGTGCGTCTAGAGAGCTGTTGGGGCTGAGACCAGACCACAACTAAGGAACCATCATCAAAACACCTTTGAACTGCATAATCTTTTCTACTAGTGTACCATGTCAAGGATTCATCTCCACTTAACGATTCTCTCACTCAACCTGAATTCAGCTTAGACTTCCTTCAGAGCAAACTTTAAGAAATGTCTCCCTAAAGACTGCTAGAATCAGCCGGGCGTTGGTGGCACACGCCTTTAATCCCAGCACTCGGGAGGCAGAGCCAGGCGGATCCCTGTGAGTTCGAGGCCAGCCTGGGCTACCAAGCGAGCTCCAGGAAAGGCGCAAAGCTACACAGAGAAACCCTGTCTCGAAAAAACCAAAAAAAAAAAAAAAAAAAAAAAAAAAAGACTGCTAGAATCACCTGCTCAGGAAAACTCCCCTTCAGTTTGGACCTTCACATACACACTAGCTTCCTTTCAGCTTCCATTATTTCCTTTCGCTTTGCTTGGGTTCCTCCCCACCCCCACCCGGCCTACTCATTTATAAATGTCTCTGAAACCACAGCACTCAGAGGCAAGGCTCACGGGTGCAAACCAGCACGCAGAGTTCACATTTTCACATATCATTATTAGCAGCATGCTACTGCTTGAAGTTGCAGATCACAGTGTGAGAACTGAACTGAAGCATCTCTTTGAAGTTTGATGGGCACTTCTAAAAGTGACTCGCAGGTTGATTTGTTTTCAAGCTAAATAATCTATGAGAGAGAGGACCATCAGGCATCTCAGAAAACACAGAGCCAAATTAATTGCTTATGGCTTTGTGTATAATTCTCCCCAAATGACTGGAAGCCTACAGAAGATGTTCAATGTCCTCAAAAATGTGGAAACCACATACCATGACTTGACGTAACCTAATCGAATGCTACCTTTATAGACCATTTCCCCATTTTTTTTAATAAAATGCATCAGCAGATCTATAAACCTAATTCAATTTTTTTTATGAAGGACTTTAAAGATGTGTGACCATGAGTGCACATCCTTTCCCTATACCCTGACAGAAGGCTCTTGCAACATCATAAGGAGCATTATTACTCCATCCTAACTCATATATATCGTGGGAAATTGTCTATGTGCACAACTATCCCATACTGCATAAGTCAGCCTCTTAAAAGGAAAAACAGAAGAGGCAGGGCTTCATTTTAAAAATCACCTTCATAAAACTGAAAAGTAAAACAATAAAGATTCTATTTTTGAGGAAAACCAAAGCAACAAATGATCTTTTTGTTTAAACAAAAAGGCTAAAGATTTCTGATTACATAATGTTATAGGTAACCTTATCTCCCACTACTTAATCAAAGGCCTTTTCATTTTGGATAAAAATGCCAAAACATTTGAGACAATTTTCTTGTAAAGAAAAACACATCTGAAA